TCTGTTGTTTCACAATCAGTATCTGCTGCCAAATATAAAGAGCTGTATTGGATAATAATGTATGCTTACATTTTTATGGTTGCCTATGACAACCTAAAGAGGAGCATCTACTTTCATTGTGTTGTTTAAAAATGTTTATTCAAGTATGAAAAATTGTTTTGATTTCATATGAAGGTTTATGAAGTGCTTGAAGTGTAAGGCAATAATAAGTATAAAAGTATAAAAGTATATGCATTATAAACCTTGGATACCTTTCTTCCCCAAATAGATATTATTTTGTGCATTACAATGGAGATAATAGGACAAGCAAAAAAAAAAAAAAAAAGCAGTTTAAATAAGGATTGTTGCATCATAGGTAGAAACCATGCACAGTTTTTGAGCCCATAAATCATCACCAGAATCAAACTGGTTTCATAACATTAACATAATGGGCCACCAAAAGCAATGGTATCCGTTTTTCCCCCCAATATTTCAGTTTCTCCAGGTGTGGGACAGGCAATTTATTTGCATTCTATTAACCCAAGCCTCATCTTTCACATAATCTTTTTTTTTTTACAACCCCTTTCAGACTTCAGGTGCTAAAATAACATTAAAAGACACAACTCAAAACCCTTAAAAGGCTGCCATGATATTTTGAGGGTTGAAGACTCAAAAGGAACCTTCTTTCTCACATCCCAAATACATATTTTGCTTTCTATAAATCCGTACCATTATTTAAACCCGCAAACTAGCTCTATCATCTTAATGCATTATGCCATTATAGTCATTACAAATCCTATTATGGTCTTCAAACTAAATGAGTGAACCTTAGCCCCTAATGTACATCTCATAATACTTACGTCCCTATCTCACCTTTATCCACTATCCCTGTTTGTAGAGTGTGCATTATCGCCATGGTTCACAGATTTACAGATTTGGGGCACAGTGATCTGAATGGCACTTACCGCCTCCTGCAGGTGTGAGGGACAAACAATACCCCCCTAAACAAACCCCCAGATCCAATTTAGGGTCTGTGTACCTGTCTGTATAAGCAAACTTCAACAAAAACTAAACACGCAAATATGCATCCGAACAGCACCTGGTGTGCCACTTATTGGTGCGTGTACGTCTCCCATGCACACACAGCGCGGTGATGAATTAGACAGCCAACTGGTGGTGCCATAAGTTTGTCGAGTGAACTTTAATGATGACAAAGAGACAGAAATGCGGAGAAATAAGATGTGATGGTGAAAAATCGCGGTGCGGCCAGCTCATTGATCCATCACAATCCGTCAGTAAAAGCCCCAGTTTGAGGTGTGCCAAGAATAGGGCCCCGTCATGTGACACAACCAGGCGACACCAGCTGAAGCCACTAATTAGCACAAGTTTAAACTCACACAGAGCTGTTCATTAGAAACAACTGACAGAAATAAATGTATGTCGTCCCAAAAGCTGTTTGTACAAAATGTGCTCCTGACAACTTATAGAAATATGTCTGTGCTGTTATAAGGTGTGGATGTAAGAAATAGCTGCACTGCAATGAGAAAGTGTGAGGTTCAGTTTGTGGTCTGCTGAGATCTGTATATGTTAGGGTGACCAGACGTCCCTATTTGCTCGGGACAGTCCCAGTTTTGAGCCCTGTGTCCCCTGTCCGAGCAGATTTATCCAAAACCAGTGATTTATCCCAGTTTTATACAAGAAACGTCCCAGGTGTCCCTATTTTCAACCATTTTGATACCTACCAACAGTAAAGCAAGGCATATATTTATTGCGAGACTATTGTGTCTCGCATGTTAATCATGAATAGGTTGAGTGCAGAACAGTTTTCCTTAATTGGAAATTAACTCAAGTTTGTTACTCAAGTTAGACTTTAATCTCAGTTGGAACTACAACAGATGAGCTGATATGTGCCATTAAACAAGTCTCTCACACATAGAGTTACAGCCTTAAGATAGCTAGCATTACCCAGCTGTTTTTCAGTTAGTCACTCTCACCTTTTTTGGTGAAAATCAAGTACCTAAGCAGAACCATGAATGCTTGTATTGATCACAGGCTCCTGAAAATGTGTTGCTTAAAATGCATTTGTATTTTTTCATGAGTTACAGGTTTGACTGCCAGCTGCCCAGGCCTTTCTGTGTGGAGTTTGCAAGTTTCTCCTCATGTTTGTTTTGGCTTTCTCTGGGCACTACAGTTTCCTTTGTCAACTCAAAACATGTAAAAGGGTGAAATCCTAAGGTTGTCCTGAACAAGAGATCTGGAGATGGCACTGCACTGCTCCTGCTCAAGCCAGATGGATCCTCACAATATATGAGAGTTCACAAACTCACAAGAATCCATCTTGGAGTGCGCCCACTGTAATGTTGGTTGGATGGGTGGACCAATCAGAGGGCAACGCTGAGGTTTGTACGAAAGCCAAAGGCCAAGTGCCCGAACAAATCAAAACAAACATGGTGATACTGACAGGTGTACTTGAGCCTATTTTAGTGTCAATACAGACTATTTTGTTTGTGAAAAAGGTGCACAGGGTAAAGTGCTTTGTGTATTTGTGGACAGGGTAGATTCAGCTTGTACCTCTGTTGTGGCGCATTGACCAATCCGATTCAAATAGTTGTAATGATGCTTTGTGTTTTCTGATCACTTTCAGCGAGAGCAGTTACAGATAAATGTATAGAACTCAATTCAGAGTGCTACCCATATCAGTCTGGAGTGAGCCAGGTTACCTGCCCCAGTGGCATTGAAGGATGAGTCAAATACAGAGGACAATTTTCCCTAGAGACACAATTAAGTGTACCTTAAATTTATAAGGTAGTCCTAAGTGAGCCTTGCTGATAATCTGGAATATAGTCCATAGCTATAACAGTTTGTACAAGACTCTCTTCAATTTGAATCAAGGAGTATCTCATAATAACAAAGATATTCCCACTTATTTACTGACACCTCATCACTGCAGTCAGTATCTTCTGGGATTTCCCCATCAACTAAAGTCAATCAGTGAAAGCAATAAATGTAGGCAGACAGTAATTATCCGAATGGAGCTGTTTGAACATTTGAAACTCTCATGTGAGCTAGTGTGGGAGTAAACTGGCATTATCATTTATTTATAACTAATCAGCCAATCAAATTTGTTCATCCAAGAATTCATCTGAGGCTGTATAGAAATTTGTACGTTCCCTCTTTCCCCTTGTCTGTAGATCTACGTCTAATACAAGATTCATGTTTTAATGAAGATATAAGATCTTTGTTAGATGAATACCTTAATACCCAATTCATAGTAATGACCCATGTGTGTCTCCCATCTAAAAGTTTCTTTGCTCTTTTTGGACTTTACCATTCATCACTCGCACGAATGAAAATGTCAAACAAATGACATCACAGAGGCTTATAGATTTTTTTCGCCCAACCTGGACCCTTAATTTGATAAAAAGAAAGTTGAAATCAATATAAAAAACAACCTCAGTAAAAATACAAGCATTTGGATAGCAAAATGGTGATATCGACGAGCAAAAAGCAAATAGGGGGGGTACATGAAAATATGTCTGGCCCCGAATTGAAATATTGACCATGCGGTATCTTTAACCTTAAAGCACCACAAATTCTCCTGTAAAGTTCACATCACTTCAGCTTTGCTTTGCTCGAGTAATTAGCACCTTTCCTATTTGCTAAAGCTTTAACTGGCACCGTCGTTTAGGTGTGATCCCGTGTCTTCTCACATGTAATGTTCCAGTTCACGATTTGAGGTCACATAATTATAGTCAAGCCATTTGTAAATTTTTTTTAATTTTTAATTTTTTTGCTTTACTTTTGATTACCTGTTCTCAACCTGCACACAAATGGTGCAGGTGGTCATAGGGATTTCTGGTATGTTTGAAATTTGCCAAAAAGTGCCCCATTGTATCTGGTTGAAAGCATCTTTTGACAACAGCCTGGTGAGTTTGTATTGTTTTGTATTGAATTGTCTTCCTGAAAATATCATCAACAATATAGTAAGACATATTTGATACCAACTGGCTTTATGTAACTAGTCTAATTTGCATGTGTTGCTTAAGTTTGCTTCAACTGTAACACTATAGGAAATATTTCATGTTTGAGAAGATGGGAGTACAGCAATATCTGCCACATAAGAAATGAATCAGAATTTATTTTAATATGAAGTAATTTAAAAACTAAACTAAATTATGCAGTGTATGCCATCGTGGCTTAAGACATCACCATCAAGAAATGATGTCAGAACCATTGTAGGTCTGTTTTTTGGCTAGAGAATGTAGAAGTCAAAATTGGGTATGACAAAGAGGAAAGACTTGAAAATGAAATGAAATAAAAATATAGAATTAAACTTACAGTTACTCGTCATTTCTGGGTGTGCTCAATTTAGTTTACATTATTTGTTGCAGTACCACGAGTGTCCATTAGAGGAATCAATGCATAATTCTCCTAATAGTAGTTTGGTTGTTAGCAGCAGAGAAAGCATTGTAATGTGATGATAGTCCTTGCTCTGAGTAGACGGAGGGGGTGTGGATGTGAGAGCGGAGGGGAGGGGGCTCCGAGCGGCTGCCATCGCTGTATAAAAAGCCCAGCCTCAGAATCGGCTCCACAAACTCACTCACACACACACACACCTCCACACGCGCGCAGGATCCGGTGGCTGCTACTTTCTCACCACTCTCTCTCTCCCTGTCTGTCTCTCGCCCTGCTCCTCTGGGCTCCGCTGCATCCTTCTTCTTCTTTCTTCTTCTCACAAGTCCGATGCTTTGAATGCCTCCACTTGTACTTCTCCTCCTCTGCGTTGACTGTACTTTTCACTGAACTCACCAGGAGGACTCCAGCCGTCAGAAGTGCATGTTGTTTTCTTTGTCACTTTCACTCAACGTCACTCTTTTCAACTTCTTGTCGGGATCCACGGGTCCCCTCTCCTCCTGGTGGCAGGGTCCCCACTTTAACCCGTCACCATTTCCGCTCCCGGGAGAGCCACGCTGGCAGCGCAGCCCCTTCCCCGACTCAGCATCGGGAGGAAGACCCTGGTGGCGGCTGCTGTGGGGGTTATGCTGGTCCTGGTGCTGGTGGTGCTTATCCCAGTGCTTGTGAGCTCCGTGAGCACTGACGCGGGACACTACGAGATGCTGGGCACCTGCCGCATGGTGTGTGACCCCTTCATGAACAAGGGCACTCCCCCCAGCTCCACCACCTCCACCGGGCTGCAGGCCGAGGCTGAGGCGCTCAGTGACAACAGCAATGTGCTCCCTCCCTCCACGCTGCTGCAGGGGCCACAGGGCAAGCCCGGGCGGCCGGGGAAACCTGGACCCCCAGGACCTCCCGGAGAGCCCGGCCCACCAGGACCAGCTGGGCCACCAGGTGACAGAGGGGAGTTGGGCCGGACAGGGGTCTTGGGGCTGGGGGGTAACGGAGCTATCAGCACCGCCACCTACAACACCATCCCACGGGTGGCCTTTTACGCTGGACTTAAAAACCCACATGAAGGCTACGAGATCCTCAAGTTTGATGATGTGGTCACAAACCTGGGCAACAACTACGACGGAGTGTCTGGCAAGTTCATCTGCTCCATTCCAGGCACTTACTTCTTCATCTACCACGTCCTGATGAGAGGGGGAGATGGCACCAGCATGTGGGCAGACCTCTGCAAGAACGGACAGGTCAGTCTCACTTTTTAGAATCACTTTAGACTCAAGTTTCAAATGACTCCACATGAGCTTTGTATGTACTCTATACAAGGCTCTGTTTATCTCAAAGACAGGCTTCTTTATTTGACATTGTGAATCATTTAACTGTCTCCAAGTTGCTGCACTCTTGTACTTTTTGCTTGAGAGAATGAAATGATCCTCCTACACAATCTGCACCTTCTTGCTGCCTCACATCTGCACATCTCTTCATGACTCAGATTTTAATATTTTGTTAAATACATTTTTCATTCCCAAAGCCACAGAACCTCTCACATCTGTGGTGCGGCTGAGCTTCGAGCGCACAGCTGTGGCTCACCGCGCGCCTCCAGACACTGTGACAATGTGTCCTTATTTCTCCTGCTTCTGTCCACTTTAACGTGATGCTCTCTGACATACACGCACGGACAAAGCATGCCAAGATGTCCCTAATACATGTTTCACTGGACTGTTTCAAAAATAGTATTATATGGTAACACTTTATTATAGCTACACCCTATTTTCCCCCAATAAAACACACAAAAAAGACTTAACTCATAATGAAGAAAATTTTTATTAGTTAAGGAAGAAATGGTTTATTAAAAATGGTTCAGTAACTACTTAGTGACTACTTAAGTAATACCGTAACTCCTATATATTCCTAATCCGTTGATTAAGTATTTAGTAAGCCGGAATCATTCTTAAAAAACTCATTATAAATCTTGTCTTTATTCGTGCTTTATTAAGATTGTAAATAGCTGTTATTATATTTAAGTGTTACCAGTATTAGCTTATGCTACTGAACAGCTAAAAAGGCATACATGCACATTAATTAATATAGCTTGTTATTCCTTAATTCTATTATTTTTAAGTGCTGTGAATCTCTTCATTTTAAAAGAAATGGTCTAGCACTTACAATTATTAATACAAACACTTCTGAACCTGAGAGTGGGTTGAGTTAACTTGTATAAAAAGCGCTGCTGATTTGCAACGCCTGTGCCCCTTGCCCTTGGTTTCACACTGAATCTAACACATTACACTACTGTGACATGCTCTGTTCCCGCCTGATTTTTTTTGATGCATCATTTTAATGGTTCTCTAATTGTATTTTGCGCTCCAGAGGCTCTTCTCACGTCGGTAATGTGTGCCAGTGTACTTTGCAGTTTCCAATCACATGTCTTAAGTGTCATCTGCAACAGATTTCATAAAATGTCTAGTCACAGTTTTGGGGAAAACTTGTTTTGCCAAGATTGGATCAACTGAATATAATTACAAAGGGACTATGCATTCGGAAAACAAAATGGTGTAAAAGTTGGCTTGTTTTTTCCTTGCAACAAATGGCACATAAATTAAACTGAGAAAGTGTGTGCTTGCAAATCTGGTAAATGACTTTTTTTTTTTTTTTAATCTAAATTGCATTATGCTTTTTAAAAATTTACAATATAATAATAATAATAATTGGCTACATATTGAAAGTTATGCTGGGCAGTCAAGCCCTCATAAACTGGAACTATATGATCTGAAGAGCATCTTGTTTTTGCCTAGTATTTTTGGCATGACGCCAGTTGTTGTAGAAATATTCTATTTCTGATAACGGACTTAGTTTGAATCTAATTTAAAAAAAAAAGTTTGTTGTTCCCATAGCAACAGTAGCATGTGTCATGTGTTATGTGCTGTACAAGACACCACATGTAGACAACATGACATATACAAGACTCCTACAGGGGTTGTACAATACATCATCAAGTATCATCATCACTATATTTATTTAGGAAACATTTATTACATTTATATCTAATTTAATTTTAAAATATTTTCTTCTACTTTATGATGTGCACCCAAATGGAAAGGGTAAAGTTTCATTTCATTCATTTAATTTAACAGTTACCATTATCCTCCTATGCAAACACGTACAACATAATATTTTCATTAATGATCCTTATTTCCTCTATATCTTTCTAATATTTTGTTCTGTAATATTTTTAGAACTGCAATAGAGCTACAGGATTTTATGTCTTTACACCGAACATTCCACAACAAAAAGTTGTATCATTATCATTGCCATTTTCATTACATCACAGGAACAGACTGCATAGCTTATTTCTCCTCCTCTATTCTGTGAGTTTTATGCATTATTAACATACAAACTCCATTGCCCAGCTCTGATTAAAGTGTTAATATGATGTACCCACAGTGCTAACAGTGAATAACAACCATTGGCAGAGCTTCACGGCTTGAACTACCGCTACCAGAGGTTAATTTCTTTCTCCTTTCCAAGTTCACGCCAGCACAAACCCCTTTTCCCCACTTTGTAAAACATCTCACTCACCAATATTGTTTACGGGAGGGGCGTAAAAAGCACTGATATATAATGGGGTAAGACAGAACATATGTTGCCATAAAACTCCTTCTGTTGCGTATCCCTGGAGGAGGATGCCAGGGTACTTAAGTTCTTTCGCTCGCTCTACCTCTCCCGAGACCCATGTAATGTTTATCAAGTAGATCCTCACCTCTTTATTTTGCGTCTTTTGAGTCTCACCCTAACCCTATGCAAAAGCCAAAAGCATCAAGTCAGGTTTTTCCCCCTCCTCTGTCTGCATGTGTTTATTAGTCCAGCTTGAATAGAAAACCCAAGAGGCGAGCGCAGTTAACGGCTCTGAATAGTTATAAATGCGCTCACCGTGTGCTTCATCGTTGATTAAGTACAGGGAAGTCCAAGCAGTCGTACCAGCGCTTTCCTCCACTCATTAAGACAGTAAAAATCCATACAAGCTGGGTGTATAGTGCAATGCCAGGGGAATAGAAGACAATACCAGTGTTTTATCATCTTTTGGCTCTTTCTCAAACTCCACAGTGGTATCCAACTTCTGTACTGCTATGCGTTTCTTATACTACAATATAACATCAAAATCTCGCCTTGCTCACATGAGGAAAAAGCAAGATTTGTCCCTGGGATTTTTGACACTTTTTTTTTTTAACACTTTTTTATGCTAGACGACAAAGCGGCTGGCCAGGTAAACAAACAGACACGTCTATTTTAAGTTATTCAGATTTCAAGTCACTCTGCATTCCCATAACACTTACTCATCATCTGCCACTGTTGAATAACTTGCAGAAACGGCAATATGCAACCTGAAAACTGTATGGAAAGTCATGTTTAAAAGGTAAATTAACCCAAACTTGAGTCCTTCTTTATAATTTTCCTCTATCCAGGGCTGTTTGCGGCTTTGTGGGGGGTCATGGGCAATATCTTTATGGGGCCCCAATTAGCAATTAAAACTAAAAATATTAAATAAACTGTATGCTTCTTTATATTACTAACTTTTAATAAATGATACTAAACTAAAACTTGTGTGTGGATGTATTTTGCATTATTTTAGCCTTTATTGGCATCCTTTTTTTTTTTTATTTATTTATTTTTTATTAGAAAGATTACATAAACAGGATGAATGAACTAAACATTAATGGAGCAAAACACAATGAGAAGTGTTTTAAGATGGTTCAAAATGCAAAAAAAGTCTTTGTGAATACAACATTGCAGACTTGCTAAGCACTTAATAAATGTTGAATATTTGTACTAGTACTAGTTGTTGTTTTGGGATTTTCCGCAAACAGATATCTATCCCAGAAGACAGGGAAAGTTACACAGTGTCTCTTTAATACTTTAACATCATGTACCTGTCCTCAGAACAGTGACAATTAAGACGTATTCATCAGATGCGCTGAAGGCCTGAGGGACGCTGTGAAGACATAGTTATTGTGCTATTGTGCCAAAGAGTCTATTTCACTGTAATTAAAAAGCTTGAACCAGATCCAGAAAGTGTTTGCGCTCCTCGTCTCCGCTCCCCTCTTAATATTGTTATTAATCCGCAAAACCGTTTCGGAGTTAATTAAAAGCAACGACTTCAGCGTCAGTCTCTCAAGAGGGCCATGCTGAATAATCACTCTGTCTCCTCCTTTAATAAGCTGTGGTGTCCTTCGTGGCTGTTCCCCCCCCCCGCCATCGCCGTGGTTACATTCCACTCACACACACAACGGAACATGTAACCCCCCCTCCCCTCGCCCCAAACCTCCCAAAGTACCACACCCTCTGCCCTGCCATCCCCCTCCCTCTGCACCCTCCCCCACTGTGATCTGCCCTCCAGATCTCCTCTAGACTTTTCATCAATGGACATAAATCGTTTTGATGTGACACGGGTCAAATAAATTAAATGTTTTCAGGTTAGAGTTGTGTTGCCAGCATTCGTACATTAAAAATTTCAACATACATTTTTTCTTTCGCTTAATGAAGATGTTAAATGTCAATTGCTTTGAGAAATTATACTATAATTTAAAAGTGATGGTTATAACAACATTTGCAGAAATAAATTAAGAGGTAAGACTTAATTTTAGATATCCATAAATCAATTTACTTTCTCATTAAGTGCAATGTAAAAATGTGATATCTAAGCGCAACCAAACGGATTAGACTAACTGTATTAAAATGTGCAATAATACATTAGAAATATTTACAATTATAACAATAACAATAATAATAATAATGATAATGATAATACATAAAGCGTATATACTTTTTTGGACACTCGAAGACGCTTAAAGGTGCAATTTAAGGGTACACCACCTGCTTGTCTCTGTGACGATGTTATTGCTTTGTCTGGAATATTCCACAGTACTGACATTAAACGTGTTCATCTTGCATTCATTCAAATAAAGCTGTTTTTACTGCTCAAAAATACCTCTTCACCTCTTCGATACGGTAGATCTGTGTAACTTAGCTTGATAACGTCACATGCTTGTTTTTATGGAAATGGCCAAGTCGAATACCATATTGTGGCACATTCCAGGCAAAGCAATAACATCTCCATGGAGAAAAGTAGTGAGCGGAGCCTCCACCAGAAAAGTTACACAGCGCACCTTTAAAACTACAGCTTAAAGGGGCACTATGTGAGTTTTTAGGTGTAGGTTCTCAAACCAATTCTCCATGGAGATGTTATGGT